GGTATTTGCGCGCCCTGTAGTACTTCGATTTGCTCACAACTTCCATACACACTAATGTACTGCACAGGGCGCGCACGTTAACTCATGTAAGCAAAGATGAATCCGCCCACCAGTACAAAACTAATCAAAGCACCTTTTACTATAAATGCGTAACATTAGCGTAGATTATAGGGCAAAAGTATAAAGGCATTAAAAGCATATTTTATTTTAATTATTTTATTTTAGGGATTTTTGCACTTGCATTCTCAGTTGAGGACGAAGTTGTTGATGTACTACAGGGCGCGCAAATACCGCAAGGGCGCCTCTGCATTGGCCGCCAAGGTGTTCGTGACGGCTGCGCGGAGAGCCTGTTCCTTGTCTCTGATGATCACCTCCGGCGAGCTCAGGAGCTCTCCTTTTCTTGTTCTTTCTTCTCTTTCTTCTTCATCTTTGGATATTCGTTAGAATCATCTGGTCAGTTGTCAATATCCTAACTAGACCGTTACATCAAGCTCCTTGACGAAGGCTTGGGTAGCTGTAAGGCTGTTAAGTCGCTCGCGTTTGATGGTTTGACGATCATTGTAGATGTCCCGTGTGCGGAAATAATCATAGCCTGGCCTGTCGGCTTTTCTAACAATACTAGCCATCTCGCGGGCCCTAATGCCATTCTCGTTGGCTAGTTCTCGCTCTTTTTGTTGCTGAGCAAGCGTGCGGCGGCGATAGACATTGTGCGCCGATGCATCGAGGGACTGTCCGTGGTTATGCTGGCCTTGAACTACCGTGTACGTCCACTCCTAATTAGACGACTTGGTGGCCTTGGCCGTGATTTTGACGGGACAATCAAGCTTCTGTGATGACGGCTTCCTCAGACCCGAGCTTTGTGACGGCCGTCGCGGGCCACGGTCGCATTTGAAGACGATGTAGCTTGGCTGGATGATGCCCCCGATATTCCGGCCTTGAGGAGCTAGAGGCCTTCACTATTGCGGCGCCATTGGGAAGGTGGAAGTTGCGGAGGAAGGCAAAGAGGTCATTGTATGTGTCAAAGAGTGGCGATGGTGGCAGTTGTGGTATCGTAGCCCCATGGCGGCAGTTGTGGGATCGTAGCCCCAGTATAGTCATCATCTCTTGCGTCGTTGGCGGCAGTAGCTGCGGTGGCCGTAGTAGCACGGCCTGCCGAGGGACTTTGTGTGTTGAGAAGGCGGCATATGTCCATCTTGACAGGCGTGGCGATGGGATTATGTATCAGTGGACGTCACGATTGTGTGATGGGATTGACGGCTTCAATTTATGCGTAGCGAGAAATTGACTACCCTCGATTTTGGTTGTTTACTTTTTCCTCATTCGGTTGCACTGGAATTGACTGTCGCAGATTGGTGGCACGGGATTGGGCTACAATTGGGTCGGCCCCGAACTAGTGAGACATATCTGTGCAAATAGAGATTTATATCTGTGCAAATAGCAATACTCAAAAGAAATTGCCTGAGGAACATGTCTGGTAGTCTGCTCATCAGTGATTGTGCGGCAACCGGAGATTTTATCCCCGTAGTTTTAAGGTACACTGATATGTAACTACGTCATTCCATAATAATACTTGAAGTTTCACCGTTGCATGGACTGTCTTGAGATTGAGTCTGTAAAAACTCCGCTTTAAACTAGGAAGCCCCGCGTCCGTATGGATTGGCTTCGCCGCTTTGATCGGAGGATCCGGATGGTGGTAAATATGATCTCCCCTGTCACTCTCATCTCTTCATTATGGCCTGCAAAACCTTTGGCAGCGTGTTGAGCAGAGTAGACCGCCACAGTCTGGCTCGTTGGTCTACATCCGACGGCGCGTATCGACGCTACCCTTACCTTGTCATGGAGGGTGGAGACCGGAAACCTCGACGTGACTGCACTCCGGTATGCACTGAATCGTACATGGGTTGTTAAGTACTGTAAAGGCTCGATGATTTACTGTAGAATCGGAGAGAATGAAAAGAATTATTCATGTTTCGCTGTCGACCGCCACTCTCTGTTCTCTATTTGTTATGATATGTAAATCAGCACGTTTTTTAGTATGTATAATTATGTAACTAGGTATTTAAATATGGTTAGTCATATATTCATATATACTATATCTAGCTCGTTCCTTAGTAAATTAAATAAAACAATAATCTCCCGGCTCATGTAGAGCGAGGCTTCCACAGTCAAAACAGCAACAGAATTGGTTTCAGATACACCGAGACCGGATCGGCCGAGATGCGATTGCCTATGGCAAATCCAACATGGAGCGTGACCCGCATGAAGGTGACCAATGACGTACGCTCACATCTCCAAAATACATGTGCATAGAAGTGTATAGATGCTGTAATTTGTAATCCAAAATAACCGTGATGCACTGGGTGTCCGAATTGACCATTATATAGGAGACGAGGCACATGTCTTAGACCCAAGTTGCCTAGCAACATCATGTCTCACCATCCGAGTCTCGAGGGTCCACAATCCTTTCCCTTTACACCAAACCACTATTCTCCAAAGCAGCACGCTGATACCGCAGGGTCATTTGTCCGACGGCGGCGCCATGTATGTAGGAGTGTCGTGTGAAGTCCAGAAGTATATCAACGTGCTGAGAAGCTGACATTAATACGTGACCAGGGATCAGAAGGAGCCGCGCCATCACAAACGCTACCATTGAGCAATCTGTCTAATCTATCACTCTGTCCTCTCATTCAGCAGGCGTTTTCAGAGAGTGAGACATATACGATCTTATCGGAAAAAGAGTTCAGGGAACGAAAGTCAAAGATCGCGGGACTCTCTGGTCGAATAGACAACCTCCGTGCCCAACTTCTATACCGAAAAGGCCTCATAGAGTCAATTGCCGCCGGTCAAAAAGACGTAGGGGAGGAGCTCAATGAGTGGGAACAAAAATACAACAAGGAAGTCTCGGAGCTGCCCAATCTCGAGAGGAATCTCTCTACTCTCAAACAGGATATCCTCAAACATACGGCCGCTATCCTCCGAAAGGGACAAATAGAAATTTCTTCGCCTTCAATCGATGAACTCAGCATTAGGGACAGCCCTGGTGATTTGTCCATTAATGCAATTAAACGAAACGCTGCAAAGTCTGCGAATCTGACTCTCTATACACCAGACACAGAGCTGGCGCGGGGCGTTACGTGGACATTGCCGACTCACGAGAGCAATCGCAATATACTCAAGGAGAATGAAAAACTGCGAAGTTACATGAATAGCCTTTTGAAAATTCTTTACAGCCTCAATATTTCTCTGCAAGCTACAAACGTTCGGTTTAATGCCGGGGTTCTCAATCACCACGAGCTAGCTGGAGTCGCTGCGAGCCCGAATATTGAAATTATAGACTTAGTCCAGAGTCAGATTGAGTACCTTCGTTGTAGTCTTTCTACTCTACAGATTGAGGAAAGCGGTATTCGCGAACACATTAAAGCCATAGACCTCCAGTTAAGAGAGCTTATCACTTCTTCTGATCATACCGGCATGGCCACGTCGACTACATCTGAACCCGACGTCAGGGGTCTGTTGATACTTCTTGATGATTCAGTTCAATCCTTTAATTTACGACTCGAGTCATTGTGGCAACTTATGAAACGGCGTCCCCGAAACTACGACAATGGGTGCCAGCCTGGATTCAAAGGAGAAGTTTTCCCAAATTCTTACAGCCACATGTCCGGCGTTGGAGTGCCTGTGGATGATATGTCTCAGGACGACATGTTTGAAAATGTGTCTTTGAGTGACACATCCGAGGTTAGCATATTTGAAGATAATATCTCTGAGGGAGATGCATCTGAAGCTGTTATATCTAATGATAGTATGCATGGGGATAAGATAACCCCTCTTGCAGAGATGGCGTCACGTCATAGCCATGGTGTTCATAAGCTCGGAAGAAAGGCTAAGCAGGATGAAGATTTTACGACGCATGATGAGGGTCTACATCCCAATGATGCAATGGTTCGTGACGAAGGCATGTCGGAAACAGTTCCTAGGCATGAAGTTGATAACCGGACCTGTTCGCTTGATTCTCTCACCAATGAGGCGGAAAATATACTTGTACAGGTATTTGAGTTGGAAAAGCAGATGCGATGGCACGAGCGGCGCAGCAAAGAGAAGAAGAAAATAAACGAACAGGTTCACGCCAAGCTGGTGGAGACACTGGAGGAACTTGACGGAACCGCCGGGGGTCTAAGTCTGGCCAATGCTCGTATTGAGCAGCTTACCACCGAGATTACAGAGTACAAACAGAAGATTCAAGGAGCACAGAAGAATCTCACTACACTTAATACCAAAATTGAACCCTCGACCGAGGATAAGAAAGCCACTGACGAGGCTCCTCGGAGCGTGGGAAAGCAACCAGTACCTTCGGAGGAGGCATTTCGAAGCAAAGGGAATGAGGTCGAGTTATTGAGCAGGAAAATCGCAGAGTTAAAGACAAAAGCTACCATGGCCAAAGCCTCGCTGTGCAGTGGCTTGCCTGCAGGGGCAACATATACTGAGAGATGTACAGAGGCTCTGGAGCTCAAGAACGAAGTCGAAAATCTGAGGCCAGAACTAGAACGTATGGCAGAAATTTTGGGGGCTGTCACCGAAATTAATGTATTTGACTAGGTAAGATATAACTGACGTTGAAGTTGATTTGATTACGGAAGGGGAGTGGTCAGTGGGAGTGTACATGAAGGTAGTGCTGCATAGCCATGCGTCTAGTTTCATACTGTTTCATATGAAACTGAAATTGTCCCTGGACCCGGGATCATATGAAATAGTACCTTTCCCATACGGTTTCATATATCGTTCATGAGTCTCATTTACTTAACCAAGAGATTTCGCAAACCAAATGCCTTCTGTAAGGGGCACGGGGCTTATTCAGCCAGAAGCGTGTTACAAACCAACAAATTGGTTGCATTGCAGAGAAGAAGAACTGGAAGCTCTCGGGGAGCTGGCTACTGTTTACATAGTCGACACTCAGGGGCAGATTGTGAGACCTTCATTTGGTGGCGTTATTGCATCGGCGTCAGTCGAGTGCATCTCAACGGCCCAGCCCGTTACACCTTCAGCGCAATTGGAATCTCCTTACCATCAATATGTCATCAGCCTTGCCCGTTGCATTGCTATCAGAGCTTTCTGATAGGCTTCTAGGGTCTATAACGGACTCTCCTCTTCCCACGAAGCGTCCATCGGATCGCTGATCGTGCCAGCAAGCGCGCCAACGGCCGCACGAATAAAAGGACTTGGAGCCAGGCTCGTGACCCTGACGACATCCCCGCATTCGAGGAATCACTCGCCAGGCTCCTTGCGGTTCGCAATATCGCCCACACGTTCATCGAATACCCCGAGTTATCATGCTGTTATACTCGCCTGCGACTATATGCTCCGGGACGTCCTCCTGCGCAGTGGCAGCGCGATCCCGAAGCTTCTCAAAAAGGCTTCGTTGAGAAGCTTCATAATTCTCTCTCATCTATGGTCCACTTCACCATTGACATGTGAACCTCATCGGAACAGAAGATGGCATATCAAGCAATCGTGGCTGATTTTGAAGATGCGGAGACCAGAGAATTTGCTGAAGCTTTGTTGTCTCTGCGCGAGTTCAAAGGAAGCCACTAAGATTGTATGTAATTTCTAGAGCAACAGCAAAGAAACTAGCAACCGCATATGGCCAAAACAAAATTTCTCCGCTGCCGTCGCACTATTTACAGGACGGGAAGACATCGGTACCGCATACTGGGTAGTATCTAAAAAAAAAGAACAAATTACTTCCCTGATCCGAGAGCACACCACGTGGGTTGTTGTAACGGGTCAAGCCACTTGAACGGCGGCTGTGCCGCGTATCACCAACTCCCCCAGCGGGTTGATTCTAGAAGCTTCTAGGGAGGCGTATTGGGAATATATAAGGCGCTGTTATCATGTTACGGCGTTATATACTTACTTTTCTTCTTCATCTTGACAGTAAACAGTTTAGGGACTAGTTGGTTGAATCAACTCGCTTGAGGCCTTTCACAGTTGTGTATTTGTACGCCTCACAGCTTATATGAAGACAGACCGTATTATGGATTAATGTGGTAGGATGCGTGCGGATTGAGATTTGTGTTTTTAATAGAGTCTGTCTTTTAATATGTACCATGGTTAGATTCCGGCCTGGTCATTACGCTGTCACATATAACTGCCTCTGTTGATTGGAACTCCAAGCGTTCTTGCCACTTGAGTGGCAAGCGGCAACAAACAGTATTCCGAAAGTATTAAATCTCTTCAGCTTCCGGTGTATAGGGGAGAATAACGACAATAACAATGGATGTGAGGAAAGAGCTTAGTTAACAATGAGTCTCGTGTAATGTAACATACGCAGAACACGTTCTAACTACTACAGGCCATCTCCTCCGCTAACAGCTGATACTACCGGACCGCAGATATATTAGACTGGAAAGCTCATAAAATCATACGTGATTGCAAATGCACCGGACATACAGTACACAGTCTTAGCTTAGCAGTCATAAACGGATGTCTCCACATGTCTTGAATTGAGAGCTTTTATGTTCGCTTCTACCCACCAATAAACAAACACCTGTTGTATTTATGATGCAAGAATATTGTTAGATTGATAACATTCTCCCTTTAAACCGAAACAGGCATTGATACGAAACATCTTGTATAATAAAGCAGTACAGAATGCATGTGGAATATAGGACTTTCATTTTCCGCAGTTGGGACCCCCCCGCTTCCTCTTTCTTTGTCAGCTACACTGTAACGTGGCCAACGACAGCCGAAACCCGTGAATTTGCCAAGTATTATTTAACTCTTGGAGTAAATCTGCGAACACTTTCCTCAACTGGCCATCGGTCTTTGCAAATACAGGCACGGACTTCCTGACCAGGTTCAGAACAACCATTACGGCTCGCCGCTCGAATATGCCCATAAAACCTTTCATCGTGAAGGAAGACCATGTAAACTGAGTGCCGCAGTTGCCGGGCCACATTCGTTCCATGGACTTGTTCTATGATGTCCAGACAATCAAGCAGGTGACAGCGCTTCTCTTGATTTAAATATTCGCGCGATGATTGGTGGTCATATAAATTCGATCGACCAGGTCCAGTAAGAAAGATCTTCTGCAAAGGGAAAACGCCGACGATGATAGTCTCATTCAAACAGACGCCAGAAATTTTCGAATACCTTTTTAGAAACGTCTTCGCCCTATCAAAAATCCTCCAGTCTGTAACGTCGTTGACTTGGACAATAAGACTTCTCCCTACAGCAGTCGCAACACGACTAGTCGGTATTGAAGCAGTGCCTAGTGTCAACACAGACTTGACAGTTTTGAATACATACACCAGCTTTCCCAGCTCATCCATTGTTGAGGGCTGATCTTGCGCAGGCGCAGCGCTCAAAAACGCCCTCCATTTTGCAGCTTCGGGCCCTTTAGATGTCAACGCATCAATCACGTCTTCGACGGTTTGTACGCTTCCTGTAACAGTCTTCATCTTGAATATTTTAGTGGCCTCCTCGGTTCCGGAGTTGACTTGTACCTGAACGTTCAAACCAACAAGACCTCGGTCGTCCATTGCCGATCGGATCATTTCGGTCATCACGGCGCCGAGCTGGCTCTTTCTTAAGTCCATTGCACCCATCCACGTTTGCACGTAATCACCGTCTACCAATCCCTTCTGAAGAAGACTGCAAGCTTTCCAATAATATTGAAAGTCCGGTATATCTATGTTGACGATAACTCCAGTGTCTTGACTTTCGAGACGACCGACTATATCAGCAATAGTGGCTGACAGTCTTGCAATAATCTCGAGCTCGTACATCGTCGGGTCAATGCTTTTAGGTAATGGCGGAATTAGTGCTTCATTTGTAAAAGGGACCCCTGATTCGTCATCTTTCGTGGGTGCCACGAGCCTGGCTCTCGAGAACATGCACATTCCAGTGTCAATGGTGATATTTGTAAACCCGCGCGAACTCGCCAATACATTAGGCTCAAAGTTAGGTCGATGTGAGCCTAGCGTTTTCGGCGACTCAGGATTTATAACGCACAGACGTGTCTCAAAGTATGGCTTTGAAATATATCCATTGTGGTATTCAAATTGGACGCTGGTGAAGATGTTCGTCATTTCTGATTCCTTTGTCTCATTGGATGAGCTAGGACGTGATATGAAACCATCCGGCATAACTTTTGCAGCGACCTGTCCTGTGGGAACGCATGGATGCGACTCAAATGTGTTTCCGGTTCCGAGAATTCCGAGTAGTCTGCTGAGTGAGGATATTCCCTTTTCAATTCGCCTATCGAAGAGACAATTGACTCTTCTCTCGTTGAAGAATGTATATCCTGGGGTATCCGGGAGAACTTTGGTGCCAGTGGCAAGACCACCCAGATTGAAGTTCACGACGTTAGGCAGCCCGTGCCCTAACTCATGAATCAGGGATATGGCTGTCGGCTTCTCACAAAACATCCTGTATTGGAGGGTATGTCGGCTGTGAAATGTTCGTGGTGTGGGCAGACTGTTTCCAGTTTTGTGTATATCATCCTACTGTTGGTTTTGGAACCCTAGAGTATTTGTAACATTACCTTGTGCATCCCACATCTGACAGCTGAGTAGACAGCAGGATCACTTCCTTGGAACAAGATCTGGGTGATGTGGGTCATGCTATGTTTTAATGACGGTAGACCCGAACTTCATACCTAGCCTGTAGGTTTTGTCCCACAGATTTAGCTCTACTGCTTCTGATTACACTTGATATCAGCGACAAACCTGCCATTCAGGTTATGGAAAGCTCGGCAGAGCCGCCCGTAGTTACACGAAGACAGACTGAGTAATTTATTGTACATTGCTATTTCGCTGAGATCATGTAGTCACTCAACATAACACAGGGAACAAGATTCTTTCCCCACCAAAGCTTCAGCCCTCCCGTGCACAGTTAAAGTAACTTAAGAAGGATAAAGGCGGTTCTGATGCTGCTCGGTAGAACGTGAGCTGGGACACAGGGTCCTAGGAGCAACTGGCCTGTGGCATCGTTTGCCATTCTAAAACAGACTAAGCATAAAAAAAAGGAAAAAAAAAAAAGAAAAGGAGTGTGACGGATCAATGGCGCAAACAGGCTGGAATACCACCTGGATAAAATGATTGTTCACAAAGAGGAAAGAAGAGTTAAGTACTTAACTACTGTATTAATTCTACTAATAAAGAAAACTGTCGGGCAAAATCCACTGCAGGGGCCAGACCTCAGTGGACGCGCACTTCTCTATAGACCTTGGGCTGCTCTAAATCTAAAGACCTGGCGGGGATATTCGTGGAAGAACTAGGAACCCAGGCGAATGAATCTATGAGCGAAGGCCAGGATGGCCGAGCTGCGTAAAAAGCCGTACAGTGGGGGTCACGGTAGGCGTGGCTATGTCGCATAGTTGGGGAATGCAGAGACTGCTGGGAACCGTTATACCGACAATTAATGGCCGAGGCCAGAAGGACCTCGGAAATCTAGGCTGAAACTGGTTACGTGGTCGGTCAATGTTGCGTCTGCTCATCGAACACGCAACCGTTTTGCCACCTGGGTGGCAACAGCAGTATTCCAAAGGTATTAAATATGTGGAGTTTCGTCTGTGGAAGGAATGAGCAGGAAAGGAGAGCAAGAAATATACAAGATTGGCAACCGTGTATTAATACATACATTCATTCATTCATTTATTACGCCGAGTGAAGAAATCCAAAAAGGGCAACTATACATGCACAATCTGAAATTTTGCTTTTACCTCATCGAAGCCCATACGTCCTGGTCGTTCAATTTCTGCTCGTCTCCGCTTATTCTCTTTTGCTACGATTTCTCGCGTTTTATGTTTATTCAGAGCGGACTAGATTGGAGCCTATTCCCCGCGTGTTCAGGATCCTATCTACGGCAGCTGAAGCGGCGTCTGCTACGTCTGACACGAGGTTTGATGGGTGTCAACGGTAACCGTGTACATAGCCGTGCGTTTTGAATGATAAAACACGAGAAACCGTAGTGACACAAGGGAGCAAATTGTAAGTGTAACGGGCTGAGCCCAGGGGGCTCCTCGAGCTCTCCTTTTTGTTCTTTTCCTCTTCACCCTTGGATATTCGTAGTTGTCGTCTAGCTAGCTGTCAATACACTCAGCTTGAACCGTTACAGTAAGAGCAGACACTGGATGACAAGGGTTCATGAGTTTCAATGAGATTAAGGCTAAATTCCAGAATATACACGTGCCATAGATTTATAGTTGCCGTATGGGACTTTCTCCACCGGGCGTAATAATGAATGAATGAATGTAGCATAACGTCTCTCAATAAGTATCGCTAATAGACGTCTTAAAACACGACACTGACAAGAGGTATACACTGTAGCTGTGGAAGTAACGCACAGCGGGACTTGTTCGCCAATTGCCCGAAATACTCTATTTGCTGTACTTAGATTTTAAATACGTGCTGCAACTTTACGAGATGAACCTCAAGCAGCACCCCACATGATGCCCAGGATAACAGAAGCAATTGTCGCGGACCACAACATAGCGGGGAGATATATCAGAGAACCCTGGCTGATAACTGGCTCGAATGAACTGGGCGAATTCACCGCAGCAGCGGATTCTAACTTAGGGGGCGGACCAGACATGGCAGGAACTTTCTCGTTTGGAGAATATCTGATTCCACCGGGTGGGTACAAATCTTGTGTCTCTCCCAGATGCCCTTTGGTAGGGGTCGCAATTTCCATAACCGTAGGGGTGGACTCATCTTGTCTTGGTGTGTCAGTTCCTATTCCGATAGGTAATGTGGGAAGCTGACTTTGGTATAATGTAGTTAAGTCAGTCACCAGGTTTGGCCGGTCCCACGATATCGCAATCCCCGACGTCGCATTTGTCCAACCATTATCTAGCGCTGAGCCAGACGGCAACAATAGAGTATTCTCAGTAGAGCCTGGCCTGGGAGCAGAAGACAGCGGATCTGTTGTTTTGCTGGTATCCGTGATAGAAGGGTATGGAGGTGTCATAGCTTGAGGCATCCCAACAATGGTGGCAAAGGATGTTATTCGCTTGGTGAGTTGGATGGTAGGAAGCGTGATTATGTTGCGGCTCGTCAATATTTGCGTCTTATTGATGACGGTAATTTGTGTAAGGGTTGCCGTAGGCCCAGGGACGACGACGGTTTGTACGACCGCCATAGTTACCGTGGACGTAGATAATTTCGTGGCGGTTAGGGTGCTATACCCTCCATTTAGTTAAACACGCCCCCCATGCTTGTGAGACTGCAGACTTACACTCCACTGCTAGTAAACGTGGTTGTTATTGGGCATATTGCGGTCGTTGTGTAGGTTGTGACGGTTACGATCTTAGATCCTGCGACAAAGTCACATAGGACTAGGAAAAAAATAAACAGGAGCATACTTCTTTTCAAAAGCGGCAGTTGGTGTAATCTTGGTGGTCGAGGAGAAAGGTAGGGGATATGTGTTGCAATATATACAAGAGCAAACTAGCGGCACATGTCTACGAATTGAAACATAGCATGTATAAGCTAAACATCATACAAGATAGCGGGGCCTGCTAGCCAGGGTCGTTAAACACCTCAGAATCAGTTCATTATGAGACGCATGTGAATCCAGGCCACATCACAAGACTACGCCATGCATCTTGTTTAAGAACATACATATTTACCTATCCTGACAATACACACATACATACCTAGTTCATGCCTCTGTCTCGCTGTTTACCCAGCTCTGAGTATCCAGGAACACTACATTTGCCGTATTCCACCTGCGGCAATGTGGATCACACGTCTTCACTCCGCCGCGGGTACAATGCAAATCATGAGGTGTCCAGCGTGGATGACGAGATTCAACATACCGTGACCTCTATAGAAATAGATGCTCAATCGCCTAGCTAGTGGTTTCGTACACGGCTGGTGCGGCAGGTGACCCTGTGCGGTGTAGACGTGATAAACCAGACTTTACTTCATGGGACAATAGCCCCGGAAACTAGGGACATTGACACCATGGATGCCTGAATAATTGTTTCAGTCCTCTCTGCCCATGTAGCGTCTATTCAGAAATGGGCTTCTCATTCTCATATACATTCATTTCTCTCACACTGGATCAATATAGTTATGAGTACCTCAGGGCACATATCGCTCTGGCAACGGACTAAAATCGTTTGTTTATTTTGACTTATTTTTGTACGAAACACGTGTGCCATGTGGGCAGGAAAAAGTACAGTTCTGTCACTTAAAGCACAGTATCACGTGGCAAGTTGTGCAACAAGGGGTGGCACTGTGAGAAAGGGCCACTTGCTCTATTTATGTTACAAAAGAGGGGATGCTTTCAGAACATGAGGCGCGCATGTATTTTGTGTTGTACGATTTGCTCATGTCGTTGTCACGTTTCTTTTGTAACGATAATTCTGTATGTACCTAAGTACTGGTTGTGCTAGTGGGGGGCGTATATTGTGTGTATTTCTGTTCTCTACTTGAACCCTTTCATGTTGTTACACCCTCTTTGACTTTCCACTGTAGTCACGTTATGAGACTCATTGTTAACTATGTAAACTTCTTCACAAAATCATCATTCTTGTTCTTCGGAGTGCTGCAGACTCCGTCTGCAGCTCTCTTTTTAATATTAAAAAAAAACTTCCTTTCGTCCGAATTTAACCTTCGCCCCCACTTTTTTGGCTCCGTCTTTTGCCTGCACCCTCGAAGTGGTCTCCGCTTCTGGTAACTGTCCCAAAGCGGAGCTTGCGGTGTTGTCCACCCCTGGTGACTGATCTAGTGGCTGTCGGGAGTGCAGTCCGTCGGCCGCATTTAGGTCCGGATGAGAGCCAAAAAGATGGATAACTAGGCTTGGCAAATGTGAAAAAAAAAAAAAAAAAAAGGTCCGTCCCGCTCCTTGTCGCGCTACCTGTGATTTTGCATGGCGAATTGCTTTCCTCGAATCAACTTTCAACGGCGATGGCTGTAACGGTTTTAGCGGCTAAATTCGATCGTCTGGCTGCGCTTGTGGGCCCATCTGTCTTGGCAGGCACTTCACGCGCGCCTTAGCCTCTCAATTGAGTCACAACGCCTTTGAACATTGTTGAACGCGTTGGTGTTCCGGACCCTGGTTAAGGACACTGGCTCCAAATCAAAAGAAACATCGATCACACTTTGTCAGTTTGCCAATGTGATGATGGGTACTTTTATTCGAGCTGCTGTTGACGGCAGTAAAGGCAATCTGCCCGGGAGAGTTGACGGCAGTAAAGGCGATCTGCCCGGTAGACAGCCAGGAGTCCGGATGCCACCGAGTTGGCTACCATCATTCAATTGACGGAAAGACAATAACACCGGCAACGGTTGGGACCTTGACAGCTTAAAAAGGGCAATACCTACGGACGGTGTGTTGGGCTCCAGTGACTTGAGCAGTTCGGGCCGCTTGCCGTGACTTGCCGTGGAGTTCTTTGGTCTTCGTCCACCACTTTTGAAAAGGTGGAGACGAGGAACTACCTCGCTTCCTTACTTGGACAGGCGCAAAGCTTATGAACCAAACGTGCAGGAATCATCCTACCACAACCCCGACTGGCAGGATAGTTGGACAATTTAACCCATGGTACGGTGCCGGACAGTGCCTGGTCAGGAAACAACAACCAAGCCGC